CCTTTCTGTATTCAGAAGCTGCTCTAAATGCAAAACATTAAAAGGGAATCAGTCACCAACTGATTAAGTCTCTGAAGCTTCTTATGGGAGCAGCCATTACCTTTGACTTTAGTAAAATTGAACACGTTAAGCCTCAATACTCCAGAACCATCATGGTTTCCAAAGACAGAGAAAATGGCTTCTTCCAAATGCTTCAGAGATAGGGTTTTACCTTTGTGACAGTTAAGCTGGGTATACACTAGAGGTGCACCGAAATGGAAATTTTAAAACCGAAACAAAAAAAAATAAAATAGTCAGGCCGAAACCGAAAATAATTATTTTAATTACTTTACATTTTTTTTATATTCCTTTTTATTTATTAATTTTTTATTAAATATTTTTAACTTTACTTTTAGGGGCTTCGGGGAAATACTGGGGGTCTAAACAGATCCCTAATATTTCCCTTTTAAAATAGAAAAAGAGATTGAGGACACAGTCTGTTTCTGTATACCCTCGTATAAATGAACAGGAATCCTCTGAGTGTTCCTGTTCATTCATAACTTGAGCACAGAGTATGTTTACTATAACTACAACTATGAATGAACAGGAGGTGATGCAGATCACTCCCATGCATTCATAATTGAGAAGATATATATATCTCCTCTCTGAAAGTTGTCACAGGAGGCTGAGCGAGCGGTGCAGCGAGGAGAGCCCAGCCTCCTGTGACAGCACGGCCTGTCTCCGTCCACACACCGCTCTGCCGGACTGCGATAGGGGGCTGAGCGGTGTGGGAGGACACGCCGGCCGCTCAGAGTGCTCTCCTTCCGCAGCCCTTTCTCTCCTCCCCGCTGGGACACAGAGCAGCGCCCTGCGGTGAGGAGAGAAAGCAGGGATGCGCCGCTGTATCGGCAGGAAAATGGCACTTTCGGCATTATGCCAAAAGTGCCATTTTCGGCCGATATGTTTCGGCGGCCGATATATCGGTGCATCCCTAGTCTACACACATTTTCTTCATTCAACTTATGTGCTGAACAAAGAAAATGGAACAGATTCCTCCATCAAGGCTTACAAGCGATGTTGGACAAAAACCCAGCTTTCATTGAATACTCGACCGGAGCTTGCAGCTGGTTGGCTCCAAGCACTGTTTGATCAAGAATTTTCCAACCTGCTCCTTCGATCTACTGATCGAGGGATGTCAGATGGAAGGGTGCCGACAGTGGTACCCACTATGTGAATTTCAGTCAGTTCATCGAGAACCGGCGGAAATGCGTACTGTGTATACACGGCTTTAGAATCAATAACATAGTTTTGATTATTGTTTTGATTAACCCCATTGCATAAGTGGGTAGCAATAAGAGAGTCAGCTGACGTGCAAGGGAATAATACAAATAAGCCGTTTGCTTCACTTGAAGGTCTGTAGCTTATCTAACACTGTAAAGGGAATACAAGCAGCCATTTTAAAATAAAACTTAGGGAATTTGTTCAATTATAACCTGTTTTCAGAGATCTCTTAGCAGGAGAAACCCTTTAAGAATGGAAAGCTACCTGAAGAAAAAAAAAGAAAACCTGTTAAAAGGTCAGCTTAAACCAAACTAAAATGTGTCATGTAAGAACCATGTCCACTCAAAATGCACTTCCATGGATGCCACATTACTGGAAAGAGTCAAGATCTTCATGTTATGGAAAATCCCTTCCACACGGATACAGCTGGCAATAGTAGCCAGCGCCAATGAAATTGGTATGGAGTAAACCTACTAACAATAGAAAAAAAGAACATTGGACACACATGGGGTTCTCTGTGTCCTAGCAACCACTGTCATGAAGGCTGAAAGTGATGGGGAATCCAAAACTTTGAGTTGTCCCCTGAACAGTAATAGAGAGGAAATCTGCCAATGGGGACACCTGTTTCCGTGACAACTGCATAAGAGGGCAATTCTCTCAATTTGAATAGATTTCTTCTCATTTGCTGCTGTGTCTAAAAAATAGGAAGTGAAGGGTAATCTCCCCAATGGGACACAGATGGCAAAAACAAAGACCAACAGACCTGTTTGTTTAGCACGCTATCCAAATAAAAAAAAAAGAAGATTTAGCTTTAGTTATACTTTCATTTAGGCCACCAAAGTGTACCGAACAAGAGTGAGTGGACAGTCAAACAATCAGGTCATGAAGATTGCCTCCAGAAATTAAACGTGTTCTCCTTAGAAAAGAGGCACATAAAAAAAAAAAAAAAAAAAAAGGGACCCAATTGCAAATTTCAAAATCAAGATGTTTACAGCAAGAACTCTGATGACATGAGAACACAACAGGAGGTTAGAAGAGAGACGGTTTAAATCGTAAAAAAAGGAGAATTATAAGGCGAGTGATTTTCACTCAGCCTCATAGTTCAAGCCGACGTATGGCAATTAAACTGTCACACGTCAGCTCATTAGATCGGGAAGTGAGCGAATGCATACTGTCGCTCGCTCCTCGATCATGTCTCTGCAGTAGGCCGTGACTGTCACTCGCGGCTCCTTGCAGGGATTCCCCCGCTCCTCCAGCGCTGACTGGCGGAACGGATGGGGCGGGTACAGCTGGCTCTGTCGCTAGATAGGCAGAGCCAGCTGTCATCACACAGCTGGGTGGATCTCGACAGTATTGTCGGGGTCTGTCCCGGCTGCGGCGGTCTCAGTATACCGCGGTATACTGAGCTTTGGGTCACGGGAGGATGCTAGTTTATGTCCTCCAGTGACCCTCAGGAGAACTATGGGGAAAACCACTGACCCCATAGTGCTCCTTTAAACTGCGCAAAGGTTTTTCTTTTTACGCTGAGAGTAGTAAAAATGTGGAATTCCCTGCCACAGTCAGTAGTATCCGCTGATAGTTTCTTGAATTTACCAACGCTTTCAGATGAGTTTTTTAGTTCACTAAATATACAAGGCTAATGGGAACTA